GTACCCTTCCTCCGGGACGCCCGCGGCCGGCGTGTCGGGCCCGATGAACGTGGGGTCGAAGTACTCGCCCTGGCCCCGCAGGATGGACCAGTAGTCGAACCCCGTGGGCTCGTGGGGCTTGCCCTCGCCCAGGTGCCATTTCCCCACCATCGCCGTCTGGTATCCGCCGCTGCTGCGCAGGTGCTTGGCCACGTTGGGCAGGTGTTTGTTAATCTTCGAGGCCAGTGTCAGCACCCCGTTGACGTGGTTGTACGTGCCCGTTAGGATCGCCGCGCGCGACGGCGTGCAAATGCTGTTGGTCACGTAGCAGTGGTTGAGGCGCATGCCTTCGTGCGCGAGTCGATCCAGGTGCGGCGTGTGGTTGATGTTGGCCCCGTAGCAGGAGATGGCCTTCGAGGCGTGGTCGTCTGCCATGATGAAGACGATGTTCGGGGGTGGTGGGGGTTTCTGTCGGATCGTCATTTTGATGGCCGAGGTGTCAACTGCTACGGGTGAGAAGGTTAGGTGGGAGTGACGGGACGAAGTGTTATTGAATTGTAATGGCTGCCAGGATGAGCTGGATTATTTGAGTGGTCAGTTCTCGGGACTACTCCGATGTCGGGTCGTGCCAGCCCGTGCTTTGCGCAGCGAAAACGTCTTATCTGCGCTTGAGACGCGTGCCCTTGAGTAACAGCATGCATGGCTGGTACTCTGTTTGGGAATAGGCGGGATGAGCAGTGGGCTGAACCAACGATGTACGAGCAAGGGATCTGGGGTAATCCGGCTCCACTATGGCGTTATGGCGGCGGATCTCTCATCCGACACGGGAACCATATCGGTCAACACCGTCTTGAATTGTTCCCGACAGTCAAATAAGCAGAATATCAAGTCTAATAGAACTGATGCATACGAGACATAATTAGAGAAGAGATCCTGCTAGGCTCTTGACCGTTCATGGCAGCATTTCTGACAAATTCACCTATGGGCAGGACATAACCAGTCCCTCGGAATTATAGGGTTCGCGGAAGCCACCTTGAATTGCAGAAATGTAATCAACAAACCACACAATAACCTGGAGTAGCACTGTCTTTCACACGAATTGAAAGATTCCCACCTAGAACTGTACGCCAACGGCTATGTTTTGCATCGAAGTAGACAGGTGACCTTCTCGGAAGAAAAGAAGGAGTTTAGATAGCTGAAACATAGCGTACAGGAAACTATAATCTGATAGTAAGAAGCTTAAATAGATTAGCTCCTTGCAATGTCTTTACACTCTGAAAATTCAGATACTGCCTAAGAAATAAACCATATCCATGGTAACTAGAAGCAGCAACAATAGATCGCTGTACTGTACATTAGGTCCAAATCGACCAAACTATCCTACAAACAAAGTCATCTACACTGCCTCCTCCGCAACCAGAAAAGCCCCCCACAGCTCTACTGTGTACTGTACCCTACAGCTGCATCATCCTAACACAGAGACTCCCAAGCGCGTATCAAAATCAGAACCCCCACCCAAGCCCTACTCACCTCCCTCCAACCTCCCCCTCCAGTACCGAATCCACCCCCTAAATCTCCTCCGGCGGCTTCGTAACATGCGTCAACTTATCCCTACTCCGAAAATCAGCCAAGCACACCCAACCATCCCCAGACCCCGAACCACCCCCCGGGAAAGAAAGGGGAAAAAACAAACCCATTCAACTTCTTCACCCACGCCCCAAACCCCGCATGGTCATAATCCTTCTCATTCCACATATCCTTATGATACACCACCTTCTCGGCGCCACCACCACCACCACCGCCGGCGGACGGCTCCAGCCGCAGACTCACCAGACTGTCCACCACCTTGGACGCATGCACCCCGGCCACCGTGTACCGCTGGCGCTGCTTCCAGACCAGCTCGTCGGCGGACGAGGCCACCACCTCGGTGGCCAGCGTCTCCGACCGCGCGAACAGCCGCGGGATCCCGTACCACTGGCCCGCGATCTTGTGGCGCGTGTCGCAGTAGCTGAGCGGGTCGTCGTACACGGCTTGCTCGGCGTAGACCTGCATGTCGGCCGCGGAGGCGCTGCCGCTGTACAGATTCAGGATGTGGCGCTGGATGGCCTGGCGGGGTGGGGTCAGGGGCAAGGAGGCGGCCGGGTCCGGGGCGTAGGAGGGTTGGTGCGTGCTTGGGTCGAGGGGCGGGGAAGGGTGGGGTTCGACGGCGCGTTGCGCGGGGTGTGGGGTCGTTGTTGAGGGCATTTCAGCCGTATCGTTGTTTTCCTGAGGTGGAAACTGGGGACTGGGCCGGGGGGGTTGACTGAGATGGAAGGTAGGTATAGGGTTAGATGTGGGAGGTATGAGGGTTTGGTGGATTTGCTGGCTGGTTTATGTATGGTATTTATGCTTTTGGCGGGGGGGGGGGTGATGTCATGGTTGGATCAAGGGGTTGAGTTGGTTCATGAAGTCATTCAAGGGCGGGAAGTCGGTCCGCCACACTTTGTGGCTTGCGTTCTTGCATGAAAGGGGTGTATTACAATATGACAGTTCTTGGTGCCGAGTTGCAGTTTGCATGTCGTGTGGTCTATATCTACGATGGACAGGATGGTGGCTGCTGATGCGCGATAGGGCTCTGAGTTAGGGCAAGAGTCCTCCGAGACAGGCCGCCGAGGGGGAGTTCAATACTGTACAGTACAATACTTTTCTGCTTTAGTTAGTTTGTCCGTTCCAACCTCCTCTGCTCAGCAGCCACCCCCCATTCTGCAGCATCTGGAACACCGCGTCGGGATCATACTTGCGCGCAACCTCACCAAGCCGCCGCACATTTTCCGCGCCGTAACCAGCCAGTGGATCCTGATCGCGCGCCGCATAGTTGGAGTACTTGTACGGGAGATACACCCCGTGCTCCTTGGCCGCTGCTTCCGCTGCGTCCACGATCGAGCGGATTGCCTGTCGGACTCGGTCTTCATCTTGTGCATGCTTCCAGTCGGCTCGCGCCAGGAACCCTATCGCCACGTTAGTCACGTGCGAAGGCACAAGGAGACATAGGCGGCGGGAAGGACGTACATTGCTGGCCCACCGGCTCCAAGCCCAGCGGACTGTTGGCGGAGACCTGCATCGCCAGCGAGGACATTGGCTGGAAGACGGTGGTTAGGGTCAGCCCCTCGACGTCCTTTAGCGCTTCTACATGCTCTGCGTGGGCTTTCTCGATCGCGCGATAGACCTCCAGGCACGGTCGGCTGGACATGGTGCGGAATTCGTGACTATCCCCGGGAATCAGTATGTGCTGCTACATGAACATGAAAAGAGCGTACAGGGTTGGTTCGGCCTCATTGACCGATGCGACAGCCTGCACGAGATCGTACACAGACCGCACCCCGGCGGGGACAAAGGTGGCGACGGAGGGGATATTGTAAAAAGGCTCGAAGGCTGCAGGCCGTTCGATCGGGGCGCAGTAGACGTAGACAACGAGAATGAACTGGTCGGTCGCGTTCCAGATCAGAGTCGCCTTGTTGTCAGTCTCGATGGCTTGGTGGTATTGCATGAGTGCGTCCAGCAGTGGCTCGCTGGCGGTGGGCGGGTAGATCTGAACCTCCGCCCAGATCTGGTTGGGGATGGTCACCATGTCCATCCGAGTGACGATCCCTGGAATTCAGTCAGACGGGTTGATTTGAACCTGGAAGGCTCGAGTCACAAACCATAATTGGGACCGCCTCCTTTCAGTGCCCAGAAGAGATCGCTGTTTTCTTGCGCGTTGGCATTGACGATCCGGGAGTCGGCGAGAACGACCTGCCACCGGTAGGGTTAGGGTTGGGGGATGAGACAACGAGAAACATCAGATCCAGACCATACCTCGTAGTTGCACACGTTCATCGCGCCCATGCCGTACTGACTGTTCTGGAATGATATCCCTCCTCCCAGCAACAAGCCCGACACACCCACATCCGGGACGCGGCCGCCGGCCACAACCACACCGTGCGCTTCTAGACCCCGGTAGACGTCCAGCCACCGCAGGCCCACGCCGATCTTGGCAACGCTCTTGTCATCCGACAGTTCGATCTGGTTGAAGTTACTCAGTGAAATGACCACGCCGCCCTCGTTGCTGGTGAACCCGGGGATCTGCAGCCGGCCCCCACCGCGGATGGAGAACTTCACGTGGAAGAATCGGCACAGAGCCAACGCAGTCGCAACCTGTGGCGCCGATGACGGAGAGACGATCACTTGGGGCTGGAGCCAGCAATTGGTGGACCTGCGCTGATCGATGAGTGCCCGATCGGGGGTCTGGTGGCTGATTGTCTGGTGCGGTGCACATACCAAGGCATTCGACGCTGGGACTCGTACCCACTGGCCCCTGGAGCCACGCTGTGGCCGGAGAAGCATAGATCAAACGCTTGGGACACATGGGAACCTCTTTGCTGGTCTTTCTCGGCGTCAGGAAGGGCAGTGTACGCGGAGAGAACAGCCTCAAGCCGGCTGTGGCGCTCGACATCTAGCTGAGCAGCAGAGAGGATGGCAGCTGCGGTCGGAGTCATGGTGGCGGCGGCGGGAGAAACTCCGAGAGGGGTGTTGAATTCTGCATGCAAAACGTGGGAACAGGGAGACGGAACGAGTTTTAATCAAATCCAGAGTGTCTCGCCTTTCATGCCGAGGCGCCGTTTCCCATAGCCCCCTTGGCAAGTGGGGATTGTCACGGCACGACGTCGACGCTATCCCAGCCGGACCGTCGACGGACCGCAACTAAAACCCAATACCGGCTCGATATGGACGGGAAGTCAAATGAAATGGGCGTTAGGGTCTCACCATTGACCCAGTATGACCCAGGATGACCCACTGTTGCGATTCCGCAAGCGATCCTTCAGGGCCTTTTGCAGGCTTGCACAAACCCCCTGCCCGCCCGCTCCCCCACGGTTCCCGCTCGGTCTTCTTCGTCTGTTTCTTTCCAACCGTTTGTCGATGTGACTGACCCTCTGGATTTACAATTGCTGGTGAGCATGGAGAGCCTTCTGCACCCACGCAGTGATGGCAGCGGCACGTCGCATATGACCATTGCTGTGCGGGTTGTTGTGCTGGCTCTGGCGATTCCCACCACTTTGGTCTGTGTCTTGCGGGTTTGCTCTCCCTCTCCCTCTCCCCAGTTGACCCATCACAGGACCCAGCCGGCTAAAGTGGTGACAGTTGTACCTGCGCAAGTTCGTGACCAAGCAATTTGGGTTGGATGACTGGCTCGTGCTCATCGCGCTGGTAAGTGGTGCAGAACACCGCCCGTGGCAACCTCATCAACCGACTGACATTGTCGACAAGATCGGGGTAGATTTGTTCTCAGCGCTGGCATACACGATCACGTACTACGGGCTGGGAGAGCCGCTGCAAAATGTCTCCGCCGACCAGCTCGTGGTCTTTCTCACCGTCAGTTGCCCTCGAATGAAATTGCGATCGTTACTAAAAACCAAACCAGCTCGAATATGCCTCGCAGTGCGCCTACCTCGTCATCGCCGCCACCGTGAAAGCCAGTCTTCTCCTTTTCATCATGCGCCTGTTCCCCACCCGATTCGTCCACCTCGTCGGTCGCTGTCTGCTGGGCGTCATCGCCGCCTTCACCCTCTCCGGCACCCTGGCGCTGGTGTTCCAATGCCGGCCCGTGCAGGCGGCGTACGATAAAACCCTCACCCACGCCACCTGCTATACCCCGGAGACCTCCTACGCGATCCTCATGATGCAGGGCGTCGTTATGTTCGTGCTGGACGTGATCATCTTGATCCTGCCCATGAGGCCCATCTGGCAGTTGCAGATGCCCATGAAGAAGCGGCTGTTGGTGATTGGGCTGTTGTGCATTGGTGCGCCTTGCCCCTTTCTGGATTCTACACCCTGAGGCTAAATGATGGACGTGTAGGATTCACCGCATGTGTCGCGGCACTCGTGCGTTTCTCCACTCTCAAGTTCGCCAATGACACCACCAATTTTACCTGTAAGTGTCACACCCTTCTCCATCTAAATTGATGGCTGACATGTCAGACTCGGCATCCATGTCCCTGATCTGGATGGAAATCGAGTTCAACCTCGGCCTCATGTCCGGGTCCTTATCCTCTCTGCGGAAGCTGTGGGGGCTCCGATCCCTAATTTCGAAGAGCCAGGACAGCCGACACGGCGACTCAAGACAGTCCGCGGCCTTCGACCTGGTTCCGCGGAGCTGGGGCCACCGCGGGATCACGAAGAAGACGGAGATTCTGAGGGTGGTGGAGTCGAATGGGAGTCAGGAGCCGATTGCTGCGTCGTAGATTGTGCGGAGCACAGATGCACACAGTAGAGTACGTTCGCATTTGAGAATGAGGAGTCGTGAATTGTTAAAAGTCCATTTGGTGTTTTCAGTCCTTACGCAAGGATTTGGACCTAGTTAATGATACCCAATGAACTGATCTATTCTTTTGTGTGCGGTGATCCCCCTTGAATGACCTCACGAGCAAGGGGTGGTTGATAACTGCACCTATGCTTGAATACCCTGGCTATGCAGGCTTCATCATGAAGACTCGTCAGTCAATACTTAGTAACATACCTTGGTGAGCCTGAGTGAGGCTTCACTTTTCTCATCACAACCCATGATTGGCATCCCTGGAACCGAAGCTCGGAGAACGGTCGCTCCTTGGCACCAAGGACATGTTCTGGCAATTTTCAGTCTGATTAAGGCAGTGAGTTTGCCAACACTAAGGAAAAAGAATCGAGCATGCAACCAGGGCGCGGCTCAAGCCGCCAGCTGGGAGTCAGTACGAATTATTGTAGGTAGGCATGGAAATGGTACACTACGGGCCGAACCCGCGCCCTACGGCCGCCCCCCCTGCGGCCTCGGGCCGGTCGGCAACTGGAGCCTGCCCTCCTTTTGTTCTGCCTGGTGGGACTCACTTAGGACTTTCCTCATTTTCCCAAGGTCCTCGCAGCAGAGTTTATTTCCTTTCTCGATGCTAGCCTGTGTGAGTCAGGAAGGTGAGCTGCGCGAGCACAGGTTCCACTCCTGGGATCTTCGACAACTGGTGGGCCTCCGGGTCGCGGGTTGTACCCAGCAGGCAATTCATACTTTGGCTATTGATATGATTGAGTGTAGATTCGATGAAAGTCTACCCCGGAGGCCTGCATCAAGAGAGGGGCCGGCATTCATGCATCCCAGCACCGAGTGAATGCTGCAGTTCCTTGAGGACTTTGTGATATCAATCGAGCAAAGGATGCCCGTTACGCTGGTGGTTCTCGCGCATTGGACGGTCCTGCTCAAGTGCATTAGCGCCGTGTGGTATCTGGACGGCTGGAGATAGCATATCATACTGGGGATCGTGGGGGCCTTGGAACTCGAGTTTCAGCCGTGGACTGAGTGGTCTTTGCCCTGCTTGAGGAGTCGGAAGACGTGAGAATCGTACCGCTGACGGGGTCGGTAGAGAGGGTATAGCCTGCGGGTAGAAGGATTGGTCTAATCAGGCGAAGTGCGATAAGGGAAATAAGCCTCAGGCCGGAATTGAAGTTGGATTATCCTCGATATACACTCAGGGAAGATCGGATTCAGCGGCTGCAAGGCGGGCGGTCTACATGGTCCAATAGCGAACGTTGCTGGGGAGGCGTGCGAGGGGCTGGAACAACCGATCAAGTTATGGCAGGGCTAAATTGGAGCTGCTCTAGGAGACTTGAATCGCAGTGAATCTAGAAACTCGAAGTATTCTTCTTCTATGACTTTAAAGATCAAAGGTTCTCACCAACCTCGGAGTCATAAGCGGTGTGTTGAGGAACTATAACTCGTTTCCCATGGAGAAGGGACACAGGGTGGATATCCATGCTACAGCACGGAAACATAGCAAGGCCTGAGACCAAGAATGGGCCCCGATATGTTGTGCTTGGATCAGCTGAAGTGATAATTAGCAAGGAGGTGGGCAAAAAGACGCCATAGCTGAAGGCTGTAGCAGAAATGGCATCCAGATTGTGTCGCTAGGAGCTCAAGCGGGGTAATCGATGACTATGGTTCCAGATGCCTTGTTTAAGAGGTCAAAGCGCAGACTACCTGGTAGGTACCTATGCTTAGCTGCTCAGCTGCAAGCACTACTAGCAACACGTCACAGATGGCGGCCAATGGCGTATTGGGATAAATAAAGCTAACAAATAGGCGCCGTGATAAGATCGCCCCAAATATGGGTCGCTTAGGTAGCTGAGCCGCGATCCTTGCGGGGAACCACAAACAACCAGAGTACTTAGCACTCAACCGATATCTTGATCCAGCATTATGGAACATACGGGGTTACTTGAAGAATAAGTTTGGATTTCACACGTCAGGTGCTCGCTTTATTTTTTTTCGGGAGGCAATCTTTCTATCGAGTACTCCGTGCGGAGTACTGGGTCTCCTATTCGGTAAGTTAGATTCATGCGACCGCTCAAATCCTCACACGCACTAACCCTCACTAGGTATGGGATGGTAGTTACTTTTGAAAGAGGCCGACCCACCCACAGCAATGACTTGTGCAGATCGTCCAATGAAAAGATTCTTTTCGGCTATCAATCACCTGCAATAGCCCCGATACAGGTAAAGAGGGACCGATCATGGATCACGAGTGGATGACCGGAGGAAAAAGCAATGCTTCCCCCTCTCGCAAGCTTCCAAGGTTGTTTGCTTATATCGCCTCTTTTGCCGCGTGTCGGGCCGCAACACAGAACTCAACCACGGAGTAGTTCGCAGATAAGCACTAGAGATGCAGTTCAGTAGCTAGTTGCGTAGCTCCGTCGCCTCGCTCTAAGACCGGACTCGAGTTGGGGGTTGGATGAAACCCCAACTGAACGCTATCTCCTTGACTCGCGCGATCTTCGATCAAGGTCTCTCTGCCTCCATGATACAACGGTTCACTCCACCTACGCACCTGCGGTGGAAGGCTCAGTACGACTTGGATTTCCCGTTTTCCAAGCAGACGCAAACCCAATACCCTCGACGCCACCACGACAGTCCTCCGATTTCGTTATGAGTGTCTCTGAGAAGGCCCCGGAAAAGGCCGAAGATGAGTACTGGAAGACGGGTAAGGATCAACAGTTCTCGATGTGGTCCGATGCACTTTAAGGAATAGTTACTGATAGGTACTGAGTGAACCCAGCGCCAGAACCCGCGACGTTCGTTTCGTTCGGTGATCAGGGCTTGACGGCAACTGTGGGGGCTTACGGCTCCCTGCTTCGGATTTGCTGTCCTGTTCTGAGCTCGGGCGAGCAGAGCCCCGACCAGGTCAACCTAGACGATAGGGACTCGGGCGATAGCGAGCCAGAGGATGGAAATGCTTCAGACAAGCAGAACGCTGGTGATCGTAGCTTGGATGAGGTCTTCCGATCGAAGATCCTGTGTCTCGAATACAGCGGCGAAGAAGCATACTTTGTCTCAAGCCGAGCAAGCCGTCTTGCAAAGAACGCCGATGACGCCAACTGCGGATTCGGGCTGCGGTTGGACGGAAGCATTCAACCGGAGCTATCAACGCTGGACTTCGTCGACAATCGCTGGCCGATCATCAAGTACAAGACAAAGCAAGGCTTCTCCATCACGGTACGGGCTTGGTGTCAGCATGGCATGGTTTTGCAGCAGATGTTGATTGATCGAGGCACCGACGGCCCGGATACAGTAAAACTGAGTCTGGATATGAATTTTGTCATGCAAGATCTGGATTACATGCGGTTGGTACTGAATATGAACTTGTGTGAGGATCAATCAAGCGATTCTAAGGCCGAGAACTGCCTCATATTGAAAGCCCAGCGTCAATGGAGTTCCAAACAGAGCCAGATTGGCGTGCTCGTGGGACTATTCAAGGACAATCAGAGTCATCCTATTAGAACCTCTGACAGACCAAAACCGACAACAGATCATGCTGATATTGTATCTCAGAGCTCGGAGGGCAATCCACAGCCCATTGCCTTGGAGCATGATTTCGTCGATCAGATAGATCGGGTCACGTACACGGCAGCATTTAAATTGCAAGTAGCCTCATCTGGCGAATGGAGCTCACTGGCAATCTCAACATTGCCTAAGGCGCCGTCACCTAGCTCGGATGGTCAACTAGGCGTATTTGACTCTTATGAGGATAGATTCAATTGGCATTGCCGTCGCCATCTGGAGCACATTATATCGGTGTGCAGCATCCCTCTTGATGGGACACCATTGAAGATCAACCATACAAGAACTACCGACGCCACGAAACATACCTGGACTAAGCGGGAGCTTGACCCCTCCGCTCCAGCTCCCCGAAATCGAGGTGTAGCGCTCACTTGTGGCAGTTTTGGAGATCATAGAGTTAGCATATCAGGAAGTTCGTAAGTTCCCTCAAAACGTGCAGCACAAGCAGATCCCCGTCGAACACGCTGTTGACTATATAAGCTTTGCATTCATGTTCATGTTGGAGATGTACAAACTTCTTGTACCGCATCTGAGCACCTCCGATCTGTGCGGAAGAATCAAATGGACATGCAAGAATCACCTGGAGTGGGTCTTCAATCTGAAGCCTGAAGCAGCCTCTTCTGCTAATGTTAGGATCGATGGCGAAATTATCAAGGTGGGTTATGGCAGCACCAGGGTCCCGAATAACAATCCTACCCTCATGCCGTATCACATCATCAAAGCAACTGAGTATTTGAAGGTGTTTCATGACTTAGAAGACCTTGAATTTGTTTGCAAAGGATTGGGAAACTTGTGCCAGGAGTGGTTCCTACAGTTGAATCAGACAAAGAACAGACGGACGCCCACCTGGCAGCACTTTCAGGGCTCTGATGTTCCATACTATCGGCTAGGGGATCATGTGTGGATATGGAAGGCTCTCAAAGGCATCGAGGAAGTATTGAACAGGCTAGAATCTCGACCGTCAGCCATGTATAAAGAGAGTGCAGTCCTCGATGATTTTTCGAAGCTGCGGGAGCGAATGTTCACCGTGATGGCCGAGAAGCGCGGGAGACGTCAATCAACCCCCGCAGAAGAGTGTGAGCGAAACATCTATTTCAGCTCAGATGATATACGAAAGGAGAACATCAAGCGGTTCACCGTCCGAAACGAGGTCTTCAACAAACGCATGCTGAGTGTTACGCGCAGTGCCAACGAAACGCGGTTTCTGCTCCATTCGCGGGATACCGTACTGTACTACGGTGCCTTGTGGGGTTTCTTCGAGGACCAAGAAGACCTGCTTCATGAGACGCTGGAAATTCAGACGAGACACGAAGACAGCCTGTGCGACGAGGTGGAGTGGGCCAATCCCCTTCGGTATGGACTGGCTCTACTGTGGTCTCTTCAGGGGTATCGGCTGACATGGGGAAACTCATCTGGCCAAATGGTGAATCGAGCGAAAAGATTTCTGCTGGCTTCGTCTTACCCAACTGGGCTATTTCCTGGTTATCTCAACGTGTTAAAGCGAAGGAAATATAATTACTTCGAAGCCGAGAATGATTGTGACTTTTACTTCCATACCGGATTCGAGATCGCATACATCCTCTTGAAATCTTTAGATCTCAATGAGAATAAGGTCTTGCCTGTGGAGAGAATGAAAGACCATGAGACTCTTGACTCTTCAACCGTTACCGCACAACAGCACGTCTATCGTGATTCAAGACCCTCGGGCGACCAAAGCTCTCATCTTCGAGCAGGCACACAGCTGGTGTCGGTCCCGATTACCCTCCGAAGATGGAACCCATACGGGACATCTCTCGATGTGAATAAAATCGTGGATGTGGCAGACGACTGGCTTTTTAGGGACCCTGATTTCCTTGACTTTACTCCTCCCGATAGCAGGGAAGACAGGGAAGTTATTATAGGGGAAGCTTCGGAGGCCCTTGGCCTTGAGGGAGGCGATGAGTCAGCGATATGCGCAGACATAGAGAGATTGGAATCAATCCATGCACGTCTTTACGCTTTGAAAATGATATCCCTAACACTGCCAAGAAGAGAGGATCCATTGTTGACAGGAGCAGAGGCACAAAGCGAGAATCCATTGGGGTTCGTCCTTGATGTTCGCAAAGGCCGTAAAGAAAAGCCGGTCGACGCAAAAGTCTTGCGGCTTGGAATATGGAAAGATGAAATCTTTCTCATGAAAATCCATCTAATGAAAAAACGACGATACAATGAAAGTAAGAAGCGGATGGTGTACATCACATCTCCCACGGGCGAGATGTCTGCCACCTGTTACCTCGCAACCCCTGAGCGTGACAGACCTAGCTTCGCGTCTTTTATCAAGAGACATCGCGAGATCACAACAAGCTTCTTTCATGATGATGTTGTGGTAGAGACCAACTCATGGGTAACTGAATTTCATTGTCGCTTCTTCAGAGCAATTTCCAGGGGCACGGAGGGTTGGGACAGATTGCACGCACACAGGCAGTCCAAAGGGGGAGGTGCTACCCCAGCCCAGAGATACAGCCGGCATTTAGCCTCGAAGCTGTGTTCCCCCCTCGGAAACGGGATTTTCCTGGTAGATGATGTTTTCAGTTTGATCATGGTGGGTGACTGGTGTGACCGATACTGGACGTGTCATGTCCTGGCGACCTCAACGGCCAGTACCGACCCAAGCAAGGAAGTTTGGGGCCTGAAAGATCACAGCTTTACTCAAAGAAAGGTGCTTGAGCTGTCTTTACTAAATAAACTGTTGGTCGATTTCCACCAGAGCACCAAGGAGATTCTGCGCAGGGTTGAGCAAGACTCTCGACCCAGTGCATCGGAAATGAGTGAAGATCTATACTCGACCATGAGCTTCAAGAACAGAAAGCAAGAGCTATTGGATGAAACATTCCAGGTTCTACGCAGGGTGAAAGACAGTATCACCGGGGTCCGGACGCTGATAGACGACTGGAGGCAGCGGGAGAGCTCCCAGGGGCGAGAAAGGCCCCGCTGGACACGAAGCAATGAGCAGCGGCATGGCATGCTTATTCGAAAACTGACTAATGAGTTGGCCAAGCATGACCGCGAGGTGGACGTCTTGCTCTCCCATGTTGACTTCCTGATCGCCCTGGTGAACAATGAAATATCCCTCAACCAGGCGAGGGATGTTACTCGCTTCACCTACGCCACCGTCTTCTTTCTCCCGGTGGGGCTTGCAGTCAGTATCTTCAGTATGAGCGGGCCGCCGGACCATACTGCCATTCTCGGCATGGTGGTTACTGCAATCGTCGCTTTGGTGATCACGGTGGCTTTCTTATGGCTTGTCATCCGAGTTCCAACACAAGTATACCCACAGGGTCAAGGCATTGGCTCGCCGGTGAATGTTTTCCTGGCTAGAAAGGCGGGCGAGTTGGCCCACCTGCTTGGGGTGCAAGACACGAGCAAGCCAACCAATGCCAGTCAGGATCCAGTCGACGAAGCGGCTCGATCTAGCCACCGGAGCATGTTTCGTGGTATATATGATAAGATAGCTGGTTTCTCGGGCTTGAGACATCAACACGCTGTACAGAAGCGCGAGGGTGACGCCCAAGCTTAGCAAAAGGTTTCCCATGGGTGATGAAGAATGGGGGATCCCTTGCAAGTAGGTTTAGAGAATTCCTTCATAAAGCAATATTCCTGTCTGCGGCCTGCGGCCTTTTTGTCCTCATATAGCCTGATGTAGTCTGAAGTGATCACTCATCAACGTCCTCCGGAAATTTGAATAGACTGCCGTAAAGAGAACCTTCATAGGCATGGAGTTCGTTCAGCTCTCCCGCCAGTTGCTGGAGTTCAACAATAATGCGTCCATTGGGAGCACCGAGGTAACAGCCAGGAAAGAGGGATTTGGTGGGGACGCTCTGCATAGAAACAAAAAAGACCTAATAAATAGTAGGGTAGTACCCGAGACAGCCGACAAAACAAAAAAAGATATGACAAGAGTGGGATTCGAACCCACGCCATCAAACGATGATCAGGAAGCTGTGAAGCTGAATGCTAAGGTAACCTTAACCTGACGCCTTAGACCAACTCGGCCATCTTGCCCGTTGTTGTAGAATGCTTTGAATGTGTGTTTTATAACCGGCAAAAAGCCAGTGATCCGCAAAGCGCTTAAAACCTGGGTAAATTCACATTCACAGCCTATCACTGAATCAGCAGCCACTTTCCTCATGCCAAAAAAAAAACTTATTTTCTCTTTACATTTGGTGGTGATAGAAAATTTGACATGCCGATTTTGTGTATTCAGAGCTGCTTTACATGCTGAGTCCCCTATCGCCTACCTCAGAGTAAGTATCCTGTCTACAATTATAACATGCAGAACGCATGTAAGATGCATAAGACAGATTCCAGTCACATTACATAGGCTTCCTCAAGATACAATAATATCAGGCCCGCCACTTTTGCTCCCTCATCTACGAGGCCGCTTCTCTATGTGCAAAACCAACCCGAACCAACGGACACGATCCCTCTATGATCAATCCCCTGTGTGAACAATCCACCATGACCCAGCACCACCTCCTCAGGCCTTCTGCTTCCACAATCCCCGAATAGTCCCAGGCAAGAACCACTCCAGATACTTCCAAACCTTTCCTGGAGCATCAGCAGCAGCCGTCATTCCCAGCCCCCCCACAGAAGCGAGATAGTCGCTCGCGTACATTACCTCGTAGTCATTAGAGAAGCCGTTGAACTGTGTCGCGCTCACCACACTGTACGCTACATCCCGCAAACAAACTGCGTCAGCAGGGCCCCAAACAGCATCAACCAGGAAAAGGGGAGAAAGAAAGAGAGAGCTCACCACCCATCTCCCGAAAAACCAACCAATCCCCGACCTTGACCTCCCCCTCCATCACCACCTCCTTCGCCACACAGTCGATCCCATCGCACGTGGGCCCCCAGATCGAATACGGATGCGGTCCCGTCGCGCGCTGCTCCAGTTTCCCGTTCTCCTCGCCTCTCAGGGGAGTCGGGTCAGGTACGAAGACTTCATTCTCCAACAAGACCAACATAAAGCTGCCGTACACCCCGTCGTTCAGATACAGCATGTCGGGGGTGAGGGACAGGTACGGCTGAGACTCGTCGAGCAACGGCTGCAGCTGCCGCCGCCGCGAGATTACCTTGCAGGCCATTGTGTAGAGGGTGCGGGCGAAGTAGCGACCCGGCTCGGCGATGACGCGCACGGCGGACGAGTCGGGGAAGGCTCCGTCGATCGCACGCGCGAGGGGGCCGGCCATCTCTTCGAAGTTGGTGTCTTGAAAGCCGCCGCCTACATCGAGGATGTCCATGGGTGGTAGGCCGAGGTGGGTTGCGAGATCGAACACGTGTCGGGCTTGGTGGACGGCTGTTGTGAATGCTGCTGGGTTACGGGCGCCGGAGCCTGTGAGTGTAAAGGGGGCTTGTTAGTCATGTCGATGCGGGGTATAACACAGAGTAGGTGAATGGATGGTGCGCCCATCTGCACGCTTGTATATGTCTGCGCGTCTGTGTGTTTTGTGTACTGCGCACTTGTATGCGCTTATTTGTTTGCCGGTGCACGCATGTGGGGGTTTTTTGAAAGTCGCTCGGTACAGGCATATAGAACAGATCTAAGAAAGAAAGAAGATATGACATACCAACATGAAAGCTTACCCCCCTCACACAAAGACCCAACTCCTTTGCCCGTCGCAGCAGCGGCTCGGCCGATGCCAGCGGCGCGCCGAACTTGTTGCCCAGCTGTGCGGCAGCGGTGTCGTCCTGTGCATAGATCCGGAGCAGCAGGTGCATATTTGGAGCGTGAGCCTTCATTTTATCGAGCTCGTCGATATTGTCGAATGTGGTGAGGGAGATGCCCCGGGCAGCGGCCACGCGGATGGCGGAGATGGACTTGCATGGATGTGCGAAGATGATGCGGGAGGGGTCCACACCCAAAGACAGGACCAGCTCGATCTCCGTCTGAGAGGCGCAGTCAAATCCCAGGCCCAGGTCGGCGAGAAACCGCAGGAATCGCACGTCCGGGTTGCATTTCACGGCTAGCGGGTCAAAAACCCCTGGTCAGCCTATTCTGTTGCTGCGGTGGGAGGACTGTGTGGGTGCGTGATGGGGGTAAATTTATGAAGCAGGGGACGACACTGACCGTAGAAAGGCGCTATGTTGGGTAGAGCGCGTCGCCAACGGTTGTAAAGCTTCAAGGCTGGCCCTGTGTCGGCGATGAAGAAAGGGCGATCACTCTGTGTGCTGTAGGGGTCTTTGTTGGTTTCTGTGATACGGTTGGCGATGAGGTGGTCGATGAGTTTCCCCGCGGAGGGGAGCTCGAGGAGGACCATTGTGGATGAAGTTAAGGGTGTGTGATTTGTATGTGTGATGGTGGATGGGGAAGTCACAGAGAGGGATCTGAAGCTCTATTTTATAATGGCTTGGGCAGGTGAATTGCCAACAGTGACCATTCGTCTTTTTGCCCGGGCTCACTCGACTTCATGTTCGGTGGTTGCCTACGCGTAGAGCCTGACCAGGCACCACGCTTGTTTCATCGTCGCCCAAGGTAACAGCTTGCATATGGTTCATGTGTGGACTAGTCTGAGTGGTCACGGTGTTATGGGAGATGTCTCATTGATACTGTTGGACGTAGGGCTGTCTTGAGTTCAGCTCTCGGACACGATGTTTGCTTGGCATTTAGCCATCTCGAGCACTACCTATCTCTTTTGTTTCAATGTTCCTGGGGATTTGTTTCAACTTTCTGATGTTATGCTGGCACAAGACTTTTGTTGTCAGTGTTTGAGATGCCCAGCTCTTGATATCCGGCCAGGAAGGATGCGCTTCCAAGACGAAACACTGTAGTCACGTATCTAGACCTGCAGTGGTAACTCAGTACTGGAACCAGATAGCTTGCTAAGATATTACAAGATCTACGATTTCTCAGCCGACGTCAGTTCGCTACGACAGGGTTCTGCATGCTGGCGGCATTTGCGGAAGTTGCGACACCAGCTCTGGGCGGCCACGTCCTTGACACACTTAACGCACGATGCGAGGAAGTACTATAATCAAGGAGGAGACACAGATCTGGCACATAATCTGGCAGTGTCAAGATGTGGGCAGGTTAGTCTTTCGCGTTGTTCGCGATATGGGCACTTTTTATGTGTCAGTATGGCTCATCCTGCATGCATGATCTGTTCTGCAACGCCACATTTTCCTACCGTAAGCGGAGATATCTATGAATGAAGTATCTGCCACGAGTGGACTGGTCACGTTGTCGCCATCGACGCGCATTATGGGCTGCTGGTCATAGATTAACGTAGCGTTGAGCAGCATCGGGGCTGACGTCGGGTAGAAGCTGCATCTCGGGTTGTCAAGTGATGGTGCCCATTACTCGGGCCGCTTTCCTTGGAATTTTGCATTGGCGCTTTGGCAACTCTGGTTCTTTTCTGTGATGTAGTGGGATTATAGGATAGTATTCGTAAGCGTGGTCATTTTTATTGCTGCCCGTGGGGTAGTGGAAGTGAGTGACCCCAGGCTGATTCCGCCGCAGGTTAAAATATGTATTTGACTAGGTAGAGGCAATATTTTCACCAAGCAGAGCCCACCGCGTGCACAGTTAGTCACGCAATCAGATAAAAGCCCGAGAGTTTTCACAAGATCACAAGCCGCCTGCTATAAAATCATGGCCCCGACTTGGTGGCAAGCAATTATTTCCTACCTGCTACTTACAGGGCATTGAGGCAGGCAACAAGCAAGAATAATGCTTCTGTGGGTTTGAGTTTAGATTGTAGAGCATTACTATGATACGTGCTTCAACAAGCAAGCCCGGCTAGCTCAATCGGCAGAGCGTGAGACTCTTAATCTCAAGGTTGCGGGTTCAACCCCCGCGTTGGGCTTTACTTTTTCCTTTTGTTTTTGTTTCTCTACTCATTATATTATCACATGAATCTTCTTAGAGCTGTCTTAGACGCTTAACTGTTTATCCCGTTCAGATTTACCGTATAGAACAGTCTTCCGCCTGACCCATGGTAGCTGAATCCCAACTCTACCCTCCGTTGGTCGCATTATTACTTCATTTACTACGTTCGACTGCATCCCTTGCATTTCAAAACAATCATAGAACATCAAATTTCCAATCCAACCATGCTGCAGTCCAGTTAAACGTTAATCACATTCTCCTTCCCCACCCTTTGCTCCTGCGACGGATCAAAATCCCCGAATGCCTCCACCGTCTCCCCGCGCAGATACTGCACCGGCGTCTGGAACCCCACGAACCCAATATTCGGACTCGACAGTCCATACCCCATGACCCGCTGCGCTGCCGGCGACCACGACAGCACCTCCTCCGGCGCATTCGCCAGGTAGACGTTCTCCTCCTGGCGCAGGAACCCGCGCGAGAAGAACATCCCATGCACGATGCGGCGCTCCGCGGTGGTGACATTTGCGCCGCCCGCATGGTACAGCCCGCCCAGCATGACCCAGCAGTCGGTCACGTCCAGCTCGGCGGCGACCGCCTCGTCGAGCCGGGGCGCCCGATCGGACCCCCACCGATGACTGCCGGGGATGGCGAGGGTGGCGCCGTTTTCCACCGTGGTCCGGACCCCCGGCACCATGAACGCCATCATCACGTCGGAGCCCACCCGGTACCCGTCCGCGGATTGATCCGCGTGGTCGACGTGGTAGTTCTTGTCGTCGCGGTGCAGGCGCTGGGCCTGGGCGCCGGGCCCGATGTCGAAGGTCATCGCGATGGAGCAGATGGCTTCGCTGGTGTAGGTGTGTTTCGTCTCGCCGTAGAAGTTGGAAGTGGTCTTGTCGATGAAGGTGGCGGTTAGGGTGCGGACGAGGGGGTCGACCAGGAAGGTCTCGCGCACGGTCGGGCTGCGGCCGGCTAGGTTGGTGCATCGTCGGGTTTCAGGGGGGAAGAGGTCGCCCTGGAGGTTCCTGTTAGATTGTTTCTGGGATATAACGATGAAGTACCGGAGAAGGGGAGGGGTGTTGATCAAGGAGGTGTGAGGTATGTACCTTCCATGGTTTATCGGCCTCCAGATATGGCTGCACTTCCGCGTTCGCTCTTTGAACGGTCGCTGCATCGGTGAAGTTCTTGATCACACAACAGCCATCTTGGATGATTGCTTGTATGATAGCATTCACGTCTGAGCGGTCGATTCGTTGCACTTGAGGAATCTTGACAGCCATGATGGCAGTTGTTGTTGTTGTGCCAGAGAGCAAGGCCGTCTTAGGGCCTCCTCAGGGCATATAAACACATTCCTCCTCCGCACTTGGGTTCCCATCTCGGATACGTTTAGTTGCGGTCGAATGTTTATGGCATGTGGAGCCGTGGCTGACTATTTTCCCCGCATCTAAAGCTGGAATCTGTGGCCGCGATAAGAGGTTATCACGGCCATCACCCCGCCTCCGACCAATCGTCACGGGGAGGATTATCAGCGCTTTTGGGTGCTTGCCCTTCCTCTTCTCGACTTCATCCTCCAAATGGCTACGATACAGGGCTCCTGTCACAACTGTCGCGCTCGAAAGGTGCGATGCGACCGAAATACACCCCGGTGTTCCTCGTGCCAGTTGCGGGGTGTTGATTGCCAGATACCGGCGTCTCCACCGCGGATACTCTGGCTGCGGCCGCGCAATGCTCATGGCAAGGGTGAAGTGGAGGAGTTGCATGCAAGGCGGCAGCCTCTAGTCACAGGTAAGCTGGCCGGTTGCATACCCAACTAAATTGCTACGATGTGACAGAGTCTGAGTTGCGTAGAAAACCAACTCGGTAGCAATGCTACCAAACTGGTGTCCATCTTGGGAGGCGTCTCGATAGCTGCGGCCCTCAATGAGCTAGATCAACAGGCTATTGGCCTCCAGTCCGACGAGACCACGTCCATTGGACCTTTTCATGCATTTCGGTCCATGGACGACATCTCCTCGGCTCAACCTGACGCAGAGTCAGACACCACCGCATTTGCAGACCTGGACCCGGTAACGTCCGATGCAATATATGGACTACCAGATGATTCAGTCTTGTTCTCCGAAATAGCAGGACAGATGCATACCCCCAATCATACATATTCAGCTTCGAACCCACCCAATCTCGCATTCCCCTTGAACTCACCACTCGCGCGAAGCACACCACAAGACCTGGTCGACTTCACAGCCCCTACTGCTAAGCTCTTGGATCACTACCGCCGCACCATTATCAATTACCTGGCCCCGGCACGTGTCAAATCCAAGTCCCCCTGGGAGAAGGTTTACATCCCCAGCGTGCTCGGCGCTATCGGCGAGATCCTTCTCAAGGGGGATAGCAGCAACGCGCGAGTGTCCCTTCTCTTCTCGGTCCTTGCAGTTAGTGCATTCAGTCTACACGAAGACACCCTGTTAGAAGATGAATGGGGTTGTTATGCAAGTCCCCGCCTCCTTGGAAACATGTATCGTGCGAGAGCTACTATACGCTTAAAAAAGTCCCTACGGGACCTGTCGGCCGGCGGGACAAAGAAAGACAAGTACAAGGATATCCTCATGGCACTGCTGAGTATGGTGACGATTTGTGTATGTCATGGAAAGCGTAGGAATGGTTTGCGACTGTAATTCTAACCTTTGTCCAGATAGTCAGCGGGGACATGAACAATGCAGCACACTACCTGCGAGACATCGAGGAGATCATCCACCGGTACGGAACACGCAAAGTCGCCCGATCGGTGAAAGTGCGCATGTTACACAGTATCTATCTCTACACACGTATGTTGACGGAGCGTCTGTGCTTTAAGAACCTGGACTCTGATGCCGTCGCGACGGGCGATGGGGCTGAGAAGCCCTTCGACCCCCTTGCGCACTCAGTGCAGATTTCCACGATGGACTACATGGTTGGCCCTGTCTACGTACCCGTTGCAGATGACTGGGTCCGGGACTTGGAGGATTCTGATCCCAAATTCCGGTCCCCTTTTGAGGATATCTACTCTCTACCGCAGTCGCTGTTTGAGCTCATCGCCGCGACAACGCGATTAGCATCCAGCTTGGGAAGATCAACTATGCGCGACTTTTCAGAGCCGGTACACCACAGTACGCTCTTAGCGAGTATCAAAAACCTGGAGAATCAAATATGCAGTTGGGAGTACGGCACCGAAGACATCAACAGTGCTTCACCCCGGCCCCCGAGGGAGCGCTCCCCGTACCACCTCGTCCAGGCGGTTCACAAAGCCCTGATCATCCACTTCCACCGGGCCATCCGGAACGTCAATGCGGCCATCCTCCAGCCATATGTCCACGACGTGATGCGGCATCTGATTGCATACGACGACTGCAGGCACAGGCTCAATGACCAATCAGCAGATACTTGCTGGCCCGCATTCATCGCTGGCTGTGAAGCACTGGATCCTCAACTCCAGGGGGAGTTTTCCCGGTGGCTGCAAATCGCCGCCCAGACGACGGGGATCCGGATGTATACTGTAGCGCTGGAGGCCGTGCGGCAGGTCTGGGAAGCGCGGAGGCGTCCTGGTAAGCAGGATGCGGCTTGGTTCCAGGTGCTATTCAATTCCAGTGATCTAAGGGTGTTGGTGCTAAGCTGAGAGAGAGAGGGAGCTTCTTGTATGACGAAAGCATCCCGATAAGCCGTCTGTTCTTTTCGTTCTCATTGGTCATTTACGATTGACTTGGCGCAGTCGAGGATCGGTATGGAGAACACAGGTTAATTTACACTCTACAGTGAAATGAATGGCCCACAAGGCCGAGACACTTATCATATCTCCGCATCTCCCCTCACGATAAGCAACCCCCCCTCCCCTTGATTCTTATCAAGTGCGGGGAGATCTGCAATTGGCAAGTGACACCGGAATCTAGACGCTGATAGCCTTCTGCCGCGATACGAGATCCTTGCTTCGTCTAGATTGGCCTGATTTTATTCACTCCCTGGATTCGGTTGAATAGTATATGAAGGGGTTGCTTCCGATATTCCGGGCTTCGGCCTCGGATGGCTGTCGGCCACACAAACAACAAGATAGGAAAATATGGAGCACGAAGAAAACCATCTTGGGGGTGACAATGTTGCTTCCAGCAAGCTGGAGAAAAAGCAATTCGACTTGGAACCTACTCTCTCTGTCGCCGAGGGCCAGGTCGATGCCGACGAGACCACTCATGGCAATCTACATCGCACGTTGAGTCCGCGGATGATCCATGTACGCATAGTCTCCCCATCCAGGGCTACCCCAGTAAGCCACATTACTCACAATATGACCTGCATAGGTGATCTCCCTCGGGTCCAGCATCGGAAGCGGGCTCTTCATCGCGACGGGCAAAGCCCTAGCGGAGGGCGGCCCCGGCAACATGTTCCTAGGCTACCTCGTGGTCTGTCTCGGGGTCTGGGCGAACCTTCAGACCTTGACGGAGATGACGATCGCGTTTCCGACCTCGGGGAATTACATCGACTATGCGGATCGGTGGGTGGATCCAGCGTTGGCGTTCGGGGCTGGGTTCGCCGAGTGGCTTGGTAGGTTGCTGTCTTCGCTGTGGGTATGGGGTGTGGAGATGAGCTGATTGTGCCGGTCTGCATAGGGTGGACCTCGGTGTTTGCGTCCGAGGGGACTTTTCTGGTTATCCTGGTGAACTTCTGGGCCGGGGGCGTGGTGCCGGAGGCTGCTTTGCGTGAGTTTGTCCCACTCCTTGCCTTCTTCTCGTTGTGGCTCTGGGTCTTCTTTGGTTGAATGATTTGCTTTTCTTTGAGGAGCTTGTGACTGATGGCTCTATACACAGTCACCATCTTCTTGGTAGTCTGTTTTGTGGTGTTCCTCATGCCAAACAGCTTCTTCGGATGGCTCGAATACATTGGGTCACTGGTCAAGGCTTTCTTGTTCGTCTTCATCACGATCATCTCACTGGCCATTATCGGCGGCGCGGGTCCGACAGGATATGTACGAGACGGCAGCACCTGGACCGATCTGCCCGCCTTCAAGAACAGCTTCGGAGTACTTCATCCCCCAAACTATCTTTTCTTTGCTTATTCAATCCTAATCTGTACACAATAGGGCTTCTCAAACGCCGCGTTGCTCGCCATCTGGGCCGTCGGCGACCAGGTCTTCATCGGGGTCATGGCCGGCGAGGCCGAATCCCCGCGCTACTCCATGGCGCACGCATCCAACCTCATCCCCTGGCGCGTCGCCGTGTTCTATCTGGTGTCCGTCGTACTGGTCTCCCTGATCGTGCCGTCCACCGACTCCCGCCTGCTGGGTGGCTCGAGCGTGGCCTCGTCGCCGTTTGTCATCGCCGTTCAGGACGCCGGCATCCCTGGTGTCCCAGACCTGATCAACGCGTGCATGATCATCGGCATTCTGGCGATTGCGCTGGAGTGTATTTTCCTGCCGTCGCGGATCCTCCGCACCATGTCTCTCCAGGGACTGTTGCCCGCTTTTGTGGCGCAGGTGGATAAGAAGGGTCGGCCGAGGTGGGCGCTGGCCATCACCGCGGTCGCGGGCGTGGCTCTGACGTATATGAGCTTGAGCGGTAGGCCGTCCACATTGTCTTTCTGTGCATTCTCATTGCATGCTAACCATGTGCATAGCCGGCGGCACGGAGGTTCTTAACTGGCTGATCGCCATCACCAGCGCCTCCTTCTTCTCCAACTGGGCAATCATCGCGGTCACCTCCTTTCGTTTCCGGGCTGCGATGCGAGCGCAGCAGAGTCTAATGTTTCAGACTCCATATGCGTGGCAGTCTCTATTGTGGCCTCTCGCCCCCGTGACCAGTCTTGCGGTCTCGAGCGTGTTGCTGGTCTGTCTTCTTTACACGAGCATCAAGCCGGTGGTGAGTTTTCGTCCCCGTCGTCTTTTCATTATCCCTTGCGAAGCTTCGTCAAGTTTACGCAGAGATAATCGCTAACTCGGGCCTTAAATTTACGATATAACAGAGCCGAGGCGGCTTTACAGCGTACAGTTTCTTCTCAGCTACGATCGGATTGATCCTCATCGTGGTATTTACCATTGCCTACAAGATCCTTCGACGCACACCCTGGAGGGACCCCGCGACGGCGGATCTGGTCACCGGTCTTCGGGAACTGAGTACAGAGGAGTTGCGGATGTTGGATACTTACTATGGACGACCGCTGTGGCGGAGGTTGGGGACTTATCTGCGAGTCTGGTGAGGAGGCAGGACACCACAGGGTTTGAGGAGTGGTTTCATATGGGCGATGTTGTAGTCTGCAGCTACCTCGGCGACATGAGCCAATCATCTTCCCGTACCGACGCCGAGCATGAATGTACGCATGCACATGGGCACAACCATCACTGCCAGGTGCTCCTTGAGTGCCGATGGCAGTGGATCATTATCCTCCATTTGGAGTAAGAATGCGTTATCATGCAGGCTTGATATTAGGGTGTGATGTAGCCTTCTGAGGGGGAGTTTCCCCGCATCTTAATATCACTTATCATCGGAGTCCAATGTAAATACCAGCCTCTTCCCGGAGAACCGTCTCTGTAGTGGTGAAACAGCTCACATCAGTTTTTCGTCCATCTGAGTTTAGTGAAAACAACTTGTTCAATGAAAATGGCAACGGCCGACCCCGTCTCAATAGCTTTCATTCACTTCATCACTGATCACTGGCCATACCTCGGCGCCGGCCTGCTCGTACTCTGCGTACTACTTGTTCAAAGAAGAAGCCCAGCTCCAACACATCATGACCCCAAGAAGAACCCCACAATACCTCAAATCGACCCCCTCGTCGACTTCGACTGGACTAAAACTGAGCCCCTCGTCCTCCGGCCCTTCAAACCCCGCTACCACATCACAATGGGTAGACCCCATCCCTCACTGCCCTCCAACCTAAACAACCATTAACCAAAGACCAGGAATCGAAACGACCACCCTCTCCGAAATCGTCCAAATCGACAAACACTACCTCTCGCGCATCCAGCTCCGCACCGCCCTCATCCAGCACAAGAGACCCGCCGTGCTGGGCACGACCCCGCGCGCCCTCCCCGCTGTCCGCGAGCTCTACACCTTCTTGGTCAACGACTACCTCCCGCAGCGGTACGGGGCAATCTTCCACCGCCTCCCACCGTCCCCCAACCACCCAGAATCAATCACCAACACCATCACCGGAGAAATCGTCCCCTGTACACCCCACACAGACCCCGAAGAAGCCCTCGCCATCATCGGCCGCCAAGTCGAAGAGGACTTTTTGCTCCTTCTCCCTCCTCCTCCTCCGCCCACCACCTCCACGACCGGACCGAAAACGGAGCTCAGGGCGGATGACTCGGAGAACAAGCAAATGTCGCTGGAGGCATTCATCGGCTGCTTCCCGAACGGCTTCAGCTGGGCGGACAAATTCACCAAATCGCTGGCGGCCATCCACGTCCCCGTGCCGGATTACACGGCCAAATTGAGGGGGAGTATGGATCGGTATCTGGGGCGGTTGGCGGTGGGGACTGTCGTTAAGCGGGCGAACGTATGTCTTTTCCTGCCTTTACTCTTGATTTATCTTGATGGGGGAGGATGGGGTTTGCTAATTTGGGAGTCGAAAGTGGACCGTGTCCGTGGACGGGGAGCTGCATGCGGCCGACAGTATGCATTTGTACGAAGGGGAGACGGTGGAGGAGGTTAAGGTGTTGGACGTTGAGAAGGTTTGTCTTGTTGCTCTTTTGCTCCCGGTGGAGGAGGTGAGGATTGGAAAGCAAAAGTCGATGGCTGATGCAGGTTCTAGGCCCGATTGCGGTGCGAGAGACAGGTGCTCTTCCGGCTGCCCCGCTCCAACGCGGTGGTGTTTGTGGTCCGCACGTATATGTACCCTTTGCAGGAGATCAAGGAGGAAGGGAGTGGGCCGAGGATGGTGGAGGCTATCGCTGGGCTGAAGGCGGGCAGCTCCCCGGGGTTCCATTTCTACAAGCGCGCGGCCGTCTGGCAGAGGGCCGTGTGTGAGTTTTTGGTCGGGAAGGGGGAGTCGGGTGGAGAGTAGGAGACTTACCGGGTTTTTGAGGAGGTGTCCATCAACTTCGTTCTTCATGCGAACATACCAAGGTTCTACTGGAAAAAGAGATCCGTAAACAACCCCCCCCCGGAGAGATCTAAGACATAGTCACGAGACCCTATCTACCCTAACATCAAGACAACAACATCGCCCCATCACCTCATTACCTTGCGATAAAGCCGGCGGGTTCACCGGCGGATGGCTGGGTGTTGGGGCTCTGGGGGCGAGAGGCGCTAATTGAAGGGGATGAGCGCTGAGATTTTGGAGGTCGGTAGAAAGGGTTATATGAGTATGGGCGGTGGTTATACGTTGCTGTCGAATGTGCGTATTGACAATATGTTTTGTGAAGTCATGAGTGCTAGCCTAGGTGTGTCTGAAGTCTAATGGATTCACTTTGCATTTGACCGCATTGGCCAGTTCGTCAGTGGTAGGGACTTGGCCCTAGATAGTGCTCATTGTCGGCCACTGCTTGTGGAGAGTCTATGCAACCCTGCGCCATAAGCATACAAGACTATTGTATATACTCAGTCTCAGACAAATAATCTGTTATTTCGCTCCAACCATCGTTTCTCCAACGTTTAGGTCCGTCAAGTAATCCTATCTTTCTGTGTTAGGCTTCATCAAAGTTTCTAAGACAGGACCGTAGCTCTTTCTCCGTCTGATCCATCACTCTTGTTCCCCGCCACTGCAGGGCCGTACAAGACCTGCGCCTTCAGATTCCTGAAGTCGGGTCCAGGGTAGAGGCACGTCTGAGAGACGTTGACTAGAGGTACAGTTGAATAGTGCTTCTCTAAAGAATTCAAATGGGATTTTGTAACAAAGCATATCTTTTTCACAAAACCGGGCCTGCGTCAGAAATGACCCGTTGATCCCGTTTTCCCCAATGGATATCAACATTATGACTATGTACAGTACACGATAAAAATATTATAGAAATATAAGATCCCGTTCCGGTCCCCTCAAAGCAGCAAAGCTGGTAGTGCTGTCGTGGCTTGAGTCACACCCCACACCTGGTCCTGTCCTTGATGAGAATTTCCTGACTTTCCCGCAGACGCTTCAGTTGCCGTTGTACAGAGCCCCTAGCTGAATCCACTTATCAGCTCAAGTTCACACCCAGATATGAAAAAAAACAGACTTTAGCATCCCACCAAAACAATACCCCGGGTTGAACACCTCACTCAAAGCAACAACCCCGCAACAACGGGCGCCACCCCCAAAAACACAGTGTGCGGCGCCAACAACCGCCCGGCCCCGTTATGCTCCACGGGGAAGGCGTCCGGATCGTCGGTGTTGCAATGGCCCTCGGTCTCGGTGGAGCTCAGCGTGCAGTTGGCGGTGCGGCCGTCGGCGCTCTCGAAGGTCAGCACGGCGCTGTACCAGTCCACGGTGACCGAGGCGTCGCCGCAGATGGACTTGGTCTGGACGCCCGTGTTGCGGCCGCACGACTTCTTGAACGGCTTCGACGAGCCCTTGCAGCCGAACAGCTCGTCCTCGAGGATCACCGAGCAGTGCGACACGTACGAGTTGGCCGGCGGGTTGGTCGTCCGGATCTTGATCTCCGCCGCGCTGAGGGTCTGCGCGAGGGCGAGGAGGGCGCCGATCCTGAGGAGGTGCATGGTTTGGATGTGGGCTTGAGGAGTTTGGAGTGGGAAATGCCGGATGAGAAGCCACAGGAAGGGTCGGGTGTAGGGAGTCAAGCTGAGGACTGCAGTTTATATGCTTCCTGGTCTACTACGGGCAATTCTCGGCTATCCCGGCACGTCGAGTCGGGTGCTCGGGACCCTGAAGGGTTTTTTTGTGTGATGGGCGACCAGTCATGCTGAGGCTTATCGGGCGTCGAGGGGCTCCACTGTACTTTCTTTTTGAATACTGTATGGAAAGCGAGCCTTGCGGTCTTTTTGAGCAATCGTACTGTACAAGATCCGCTGCGAGCAGTTAAGACTTCCAGAGCATCCGTGCCGGCGATCCGCATCGGGCTTGGCAGGGTACGGCTTGGCGTACAGGGTCTTTTTCATGACACAACAAAGTAATAGCTATTGCTGAAAGCACGGCGCATTGATGATACACATAACACATAGATTGAGGTTTGACTTGATTATTTGATAGCTGCCTCGTTGTGATTATATATACGTGCAGAAGAGAAACACCGCAATTGAAAGGGTTTCCTCCCTCAGACCACAAACTCGTCTAGCCTCTAGGGCTCCGGGACATCCGGGCAGGGTCCACTCCATCCGACTGGTGTCGAATGAAGACGTTGTTCCTGATCCAGGATAGGAAGTCGACCTACCAAAAAGGCAAATAGAAATCCAATAGTCAATGGGTCACATGGTGCCTTACAGTCTAGATAAGCAAAGTTAGTAGAATTAAATCCCGCAAAGGACGAGTCATTGGCAAATTGGTAGTTATCATTGGTGCTAGAAGCTACTCGGGCAAGGTCACGAGCATTGAAGCTGTGCCTGAGGACTGTTCTGGATTACGATACCCTACTCAGGTACCAGCCTCGTTATGGAAAAAACCCTATAGCTACTCTGCAGGTGCAATCCACTACTAGGTAGAGCTCTACGGTAAGTATGAATAGGTGAACGCAAACGAGTCCACCCAATCAAGGTCATCGACCAACCTACCACCTACCGTATCATCCCCATCTACTCCCATAATCTCTTACCCAGATTCTCACAATGAACCCTAATACCTACGGTACATCTACGCCATCGTCAACCCACAATTCTCACAACACCCATTCTCATCCTCACTCTCCGAATCCGCATCAAAGAAACTCCCCTCGGATTCATCCACCACCCCCAACGTCCGCCGCAGCGACCGCAGCCACTCCTCCACCCGCCCCCGATCCTGCACAAGACACAGCACCTTACACAGCCCCCGCCGACACCCATCCTCGCCCTGCAGATTCTGGAACCACACGTGGCCCCCCACCGCAACCCCGAGCACAAACTCCGGCAGCAGCGCGGAGTCCACCGCCACCAGCTGCTGCTGCAGGAGCGCCAGCTTGCGCTGTCGGATCTCGCGGAGCTGGAGCTCCGGACTGGCCTGTGCGGTGGTTGCATCGTGGCAGATGATCTGGATGACGATGCTGTCCTTCCCGTTTTGCGGGACGGGGCTCACGAGATCGATGATCTCGTAGGGCAGGGGGCTCTGTGTGGCCGACTCGATGAATCGGCGGGTGAGGAGTCGGTAGTTCTGGGCCTGGCTGTCGCTGTCGCTGCTGCTGCTGCTGCTGCTGGGAAAGACGAGCGCGCGGCTGAGGATCTGCGCCCATAGTTTGGCGGTCTCGCGGGCGCTCGGTTCGGTGTTGGACTGGCTGGCTTCGAGGTAGGTTCGGATGTGCGGATCGGCCCAGTAGGACCAGGGGCGCTGAGTGCGGGCTGTGGGTTTGTCCTGGGGGGGTAGGGTTAGTTCGATTGTTTGGGTGGTGTAGCTTTGGGGCTTTTGGGATGGGGTGGCCATTTTGATGGGGGGGGGGTTGTTGTTGGGTGAGGGAGGTTAAGGTAGATGGGTGGTTCTAGGATGAGGTCTGTTGGTTAGAGCCTTGGGAATGCTGGGGTGCATGATGGAACAGCACTGTAGATGGGCGTATTTATACCCTACATGGTGGAGAGGTTATGATCGAAGAGAAAGAAGTGTGTAGAAAGAGACTTGGTGTAGCCTTTTTGCCTACTGTGAAAGAGGGTTGAGAGGGATGATGTGGTCATTATGGTTATACAACTGTGAAGGGCAGCAGAGTGAGGATCATCTCGCAGTTCTGTTTATACTGGATTCTGCATTGTGAGTATTGCTTTCTTTTTCTAGAGGAGTAGAAGAAGTATCCAAAAAGCTTAATTGTTGAGCAGCATGCTTGTGATGTATGCCTTTGTCAATCTCCTTTGTTCGGATTGTCTTAGTATAGCTCTTTGTTCTTAGATGCTGCTGCACCCGACTTCAAGGTAGACTTCTACCCTTCTTAGATTGGGTTACAGCAGGCTGACTAATCATTGGCACTTCTTGTCAATTCTCAAGCTGGTGCAGGGGTATGCATATAGATGGGGCATAAACAAGCAATTACTTACGTATGTTAGCGTCTCGGTTGAGCGAGCCAAGGTTGCACAATAGCTCGGGAGAAGTAAGTCTAATACCGAGATGCGCAGAGGAGCTGATTTTATCTAATACAGTGGATCGTTGTTTCTATACTCCAGATCTTGCCCCGCCCCAAGTAACCTGAAGTAACTTATAGCATGTACTGCGCGGGCCGAGCTAGTACATACAACACAGCTAAAGATTACCTCCAATCAGAATTCAAGCTCATGGTGGTTTTCTTGTATGAAAGAATTGCTTAGTAGTGACCTGTGCTTGCTTCTATTACGTATAAGAAAGAGTTACATGTGAGGTCCGACAATGTAAACCTGGGAGAGTAGAGGGTGACGGGGCTGTTACTAATTCGATGTTGAATACACGTTTGCTTCAGGGCTATTTTGCAAAGCAGGCGTCACAATGACATCAACTAGCATCATTGGTCTAGTGGTAGAATTCATCGTTGCCATCGATGAGGCCCGTGTTCGATTCACGGATGATGCACTCAAATTTTGCCCTTTCTTTTTTCCTTCCCCTTCCCGTCCACCTCATCTTCTCTGTTCTATTTGTCACCTTCCTTGCTCCGTTTATTTTGTTTTATATCGTTTATCTTGATGTTCTTTCTCTTTGTGTACATCATTGACCGGGACGTCAGTTCCTTTCCTCCAGAACTCACACATTGCCAACTATAAGACATATTCTGGTACTATCAATTATTATTCCCAAACATCCAATTCGTATCTCCCGAAAAGTCCCACATATTGACCAGATCGCTCGGCAGTTGAGAGAAATCGAACTCCTCAAGCGACGGCACGATACTGGAGGGCATACCCAGCGCCGACATATCGCGGAACCGGTCTACCGGACATCCCGGTATCTCATTATCCTGGTCGGGCTCTTTCACCGTATCTGCAGTATTATTAGTTCGACCAGAAACCATCACAGACCCTGTCGCAATACAACCTACCTGCGCCCTCAGATCTCACAGCACAACTAACCCCTCCGTCACCCTCTGCCACAGCATCCTCGCCCGAGCCATCTACCTTCCGCACCATGACGCTAATCGCCAGCCAAGCCTGCCTCGCCTCCGCCGACTCCCCCTGATACCGAGTCAGGATCCTCTGCGAAGTGCGTAACGCGAGCAGCAGCGCCTCCGTCCCCGGATTGTAAACGTGTGTGTCCCCGCCACCCTCCCGCCTCCGCAAATGCAGCTCGAAACACACCACCATGGCAGCGAAGATGAAATCATGGGTCGTCAACGAGGTCACGAACCAGCGACACCGAGCCAGCACCCCGCCTGGCTGGACCTGTGCGTCGATCGTCGCCTGATGCCGCAGCAACCGCATCGCGGCGTCCAGACACACCGTCCTCGACGCGGCGCCTCGTGGATCCGAGCGACCTTCACCAAGTCCTCGCCGGTGGAGGATACACCGCGACTTTTGGTACAGGATCTCGAGATTATAGCGCAGCATCACGAGATGCGGGAGCTCCGTGACCGAGGCGCCTACCTCGCGGAACTTCAGGACTGCCGGCGTGCCCGCGTAGGCGGCGTTAAGCTGCTGGTCGAGCTGAACGACCTGCGTGGGCGCCGTCGGGCCCGTCGAGGCAACGTGATCCGCGATGCGGCCGAATACCTCCGCCAGCCGGCTCTTGGCGATGAGATACAGGACCGGCGTGAACTCGGTCTCCGGACGGGGCGGCGCGAGACTGGTGGACGCTGGCCCGAAGTCCTCGTCCAGCAGGTTGTGCGGCGGCCGGGTGTCGGCCACCCCGCTGGCGATCATGCGCGGCAGGCCGATCTGGAACGAGAACAGCGCGTCGAGCTGCGCCATCAGCGACCACAGGCGCCGGCGCATTTCGGCATCGAAGCAGGAGATTTCTGGGGAGTACCCCGCCCCGTCGCGGTGGAGCCCGGCCCGCATCGCGAGGCGGATGGTCATTCCCATCAGGAGCCAGACTTCGTGCTGGGCGTCTTTGCTGCGGAAGTACTCGGTCTGTGTGTACAGGGCGAGCGCTTCGAGGGTGTATCTGGTCGGTGTGGTGTATTTAGCCGTCAGCAAGCAGTAGGCGGCTTGCAGGCGGAAGGTCTCGCATTGGGTCTCGGGGGTGGTGGTGATGTTGTTGTTGTCGATGGGGTCCGGGGTGGTGGGGCCTTCGGTGCGCTGGTGCAGGTGAATGGCGAGGTTCATTATGCTAAAGAGGATGCTGAGCCATGTGGGGCTGATGGATTGGGGATCAGTCCAGAAGTGGTCGTACTGGGCTTTTGTCAGTAGGTGTGGTAAGTACGAGTTGCGGTGGTGGGTGAGAGACTTCTTGCTGGAAGGTAGGGGCGTGGATGATTACTGGTGGCGTGAGATTAGTTGACTTGTTATTATGATGAGGATAAATCAACTCACAAACACCAGGTTCCATCGAACTAAAGAATCGCGACACTAACCGGTCAACAATGGGTCGTGCTGGGATATGAGCCAGGATCTCCTCCATTCCACCCAGTGGTGACAGTCCCAGTAGCAATGCGGACCCTTGCTGGCCGGACTCTGCGTCAGGCGTAGTGAAGGGTGACTCGGAGTCAACACACTCCTTAATCTCAGCAATCTGCTCATATAATGAAGATAAACAAGTCAATCATGTCAATAGTCCAGGAGCATTTGTAACAGCAACATACACTATCCTGAAGTACGGCCCAGTGTGCACCCGAAACATAGCTCATACCCGTTGCATCCACACGCATACTTCCCAATGAGTTGGTGATTGCATCTTGCCCATCTGCATCGTCAATTTGCCTCTCCTGCGCCGTGTGCAGGGGGCTGCCCGAATGGCCTGAGCCCCCACCCTTCTGCAGGACCGTTACGAGCTCCTCGAGTTGCCGTATGCGTTGACTCAAGTGCCGCGCTGACGAGGGAGGATTGCGACGCGAAGCAGCCGAAGCTGGCCCCGTGTAGACGCAGTCCAGACCACGCTTGACACAGCTGCTACACGGTCGAAGGCGATCACATCGCAGTCTTGCATAGGTCAGTACCCAGGGTGGCTTCGGGAGGACAAGGGCGTTTACTTTTTCTGACGACAAAAGGTACAGGATAGGGCTGTTCTTACTGGAGGCTGCAGCGATGCCATGAGTCTGTAGTTCGGTTCTTGTCCAGTGAAGACCAAGACTCGGTCACGCTATGGCTTGTTTGGTGTCAACGATCAATGTGCGGGTGCGGGGTTGGCAGCCGCCGCTTATGTCAGCCCTGCACCATCTCTGTTCCACCTGAGGCTTGTTTCGATGCCACTCTCGATGTCAGTCTCGAATGCCATATTATCTATACCATAGTCAATGTTTCAATGCAGCACATAGACAAGTTGGCTTGAATCGGAAAGTAAGCCCCACTGCGTATTTTTGCTTCAAGAGGAAAAGCCCGCTCTTGCGGACCTTGAATCATTGCCTCACCCGGGAGATAATCATCAGCCAGGTTGGTGTGACATCTTCCCAGGACCGAAACTTTAGATTGAGCCAAGCGATCCACAATCTGTAATTTACGAGTAGCTCGGGAGGCCTCTCCCAAGAGTCAAGACGTGTGCCCCTCGGGGCCACCACCACCAGCACCTCCGGACTTCCCATCCAAGCCTAGCGCCGGCCCGGAGATGCTAGCGCCGGAAGCAGATCCGCCCCATCGCATCGGGCCCGGGCCCTTGCTCCGGGATCGACCCTCAAGAAACCATAGTATAAATGCTTAGCCCAACCGAGTACTGGACGTACCCCATCACCTCCCATTTCCGAAATCCACAACACTCATTACAATCACAACACTCTCCTAAAGGGCACAGCCGAAAATGACAACCCTCCGACAAATCTTCCCCCCACCGCCAACCTTCACCGACCGCACCATCCCCGACCTCACCGGCAAAACCATCCTCATCACCGGCGCCACCTCGGGCGTGGGCTACCACGCCGCCAGCCTCCTGTACGCCAAGCACGCAACCGTGTACATCGCCGTGCGCTCCGCCGCGAAAGCCCGGGCCGCCATCGCCGCCATCCAGGCCTTGCCGGAGTGCACGCACAGCCGGGGCCGAATAGCGTTTCTCGCGTTAGATCTCGCCGAGCTGGGCGGAATCAAGCGCAGCGTTGAGGAGTTTCTGGGGAAGGAGGATCGGCTGGATGTGTTGGTTCATAATGCCGGGGTGATGACGCCGCCGGCGGGGAGTAGGACTGGTCTCGTATGTTGGTTGGCTCTTATCCGGTTTCTCTTTCCTGGAAGGCGGAAGATGATGTGCTGATGTGATGTGAGGGGGGTTGGTGAAGGGCCATGACCTCGAGATGAGCACGAATTGTCTCGGTCCCTTTCTGTTGAATCAGCTCCTTCTTCCGGTGTTACAGCGCACGGCTGCTTCTGCGGAGCCGGGGAGTGTTCGTGTGGTCTGGGTGGCTTCGTTGCTCTCTGCGTTCGTTGCGCATGGGGGGATTGTATTTGACGAGGAGACTGGCGCCCCTCAGGTGCTTAAGAATGCGATGGAGAATTATATGCAGAGTAAAGTCGGGAATGTGTTTTTGGCGAGTGAGATGGCGAGGCGGTTCGGTGGGGACGGGGCGATGAGCTTGGTTTGTGTCCCTTCATTGAGTGAAGTGTGGGAGCTGTACTGATGAACATTCCAGAGTGTGAACCCCGGACTCATGAAGACGGAGCTCCAGCGGCATAATTCGCCGGCGCAGGGCAAGATTATGGTACGTCCTTTACCTCGTTTTAAAGTGTTAAGGTGGAATGCGTGCTAATAGTAGCAGGGAATTCTCTTCAAAGGCCCGCGGTACGGAGCGTATAGTGAGCTGTTTGCGGCGCTGTCGCCGGAGGTTACTCCCGAAAGGAACGGGGCATTTGTCATTCCATGGGGTAGGTTTGGGACGGTGCCGTGTCATATTGAGAAGGGTTTGGCCAGTGAACAGGATGGGGGCACGGGGGCGGCGGAGAGGTTCTGGGGGTGGTGTGAGCGGGAGACGGCTGCTTTTCGCTGAGGAGCTTGTAGCTGTCCACCTGTGTTAGTTGAAATACCCTAGTTGTGTCTTAATTTATTAAGGAACGTATCTGTGTCACCTACTATCCTTTATCGATCACTGTATGCACGTACGTACTACATAGTATAAGAAAGGCAAGCCTCGGCAATGGCCTGGGTTATCGCCCGATAAGCGCGGCAGTTCCAGGCATGGATGCGGCTAGCCCCGAAGTCTAACAAGTGGGGCCCCACATGCGGTCGGACCACGTTGCACGGAAAGGGGAGAGCACAACCATCCTATACTTAGTAACTTAAGACTTGGTGCAAGCCCTGTGGGCCTGGACAAACTGGCATACATAAGCCCGGTAAGACCCGCAACAAACCTCTCAACCCTCAGATAAAACCTCGTGCACATTCTATCACCACCAATGGACACACCAGACTACGAAGCCGAAAAGGCCAAGATGCTCCGCGGCGAGCTCTACCGCGCCTTCACCCCGGGACTGATCGCCGCCCGCCACCGCTGCAAAGTCGCCGTGCATGCGTTCAACAACGCCGGGATCGTCTCGCGACGGCGGCAGGTGGAGTTGTGGAGAGCGTAAGCCTTTTGTATGCCCCGGCTTTTTCTTGAGAAACGGGTGCTAAGAATGTACCAGAATCATAGAAGACGCCCGCCCCCTTCCACCGTCGGCCCCCACTCCAGAAGAAGACGAGGCGCTCTTCGAGCAGGATCCCTGGGTGGAAAGCCCCATCCGCATGGACTACGGGTTCAACGTCAGTGTCGGCGCGGGCACGTTCATCAACTTCAACTGCACGATCATCGACACCTGCCGCGTGGTGATCGGGGAGCGGTGTCTGTTCGGCCCGAATGTGAGTCTCTACACGGGACTGCATCCGCTGGACGGGGAGGTGCGGAATGGCACGGCCGGGCCGGAGTGGGGCAAGGAGATCCATATCGGCGATGATTGCTGGTTGGCCGGGGATGTGAAGATTCTGGCGGGGGTGACAGTTGGAAAAGGGTCGACGGTTGGGGCGGGGAGTGTGGTTACTAAGGTTAGCTTTTGCCTTCTGGTAGTGGATGAGGTGATTGCTGACAATTGTTATAGGACGTACCGCCGTATTGTGTGGTGGTTGGCAATCCAGCGCGAGTGTTGAAGTATCTCAAGGGGAGTCCGCATTTCAAGGAGGAAGGAGCATCGGATTAATGGATTGGATGGAAGAGGTAGAGGATCCAAGGTGTTGGAGCCTTATTTTGGCCAGAATATTGGAAGCTCAGAAGTAGATATCATCTCTCGGTCCGTAGCGCACGGCAGATATGAGGTAATACAATTGTCGGTTCACAATTTTGACGACTAATAACATGAAAAACACAGCAGTAAATAGCATGAACGGTGTACAATCAAGATCTGCTCACAGAATCATCAAAAAATGAAACCGAGAATGTTGCCCTAGCAAGCATGAAGTCTTTTCAAAAAGGCAGTCAAGACACATCCGGCCAGCAACCCTCGCGAAGCTTGAGCGGGTCCGAGCCCACCCATCCGGAGCAGTAATCCCAAGGGCTTAGGTGATCCAAGCATTCGAGTCGATACGAAACCTCGTGCTGCTGGGCATCTGGGGGTGAGCGAAAGTACCGGATCACGGGGTCATTCCTACAAGAGACCCATTGCTCGATATACTGAGTCCTGCCATCTCGGCCGGCGTCGGGCACGGTCCTATGGGACTGCAGCTGCTCCACATGGATGTGGACGCTGTCCTTGACCGGGAACACGAGTCCATACAAGAAAGAATTGTAGGGATACTGGCTCAGCCTGCCTGTTTTACCAACAAGCCAAGTCGTATGGATTCGCGCCGCCCCGCCACACAAGACGTACCACCCCTGATAGACGGGGTAGGTCACGAGCCCGTGCCCAGCGATCATCATGGCATCGCCCACGGGCACCCGCATTGGCCGGATGAGGCCGTCCCTGTTGAAATCCGCCCAGTAGGAATCGATGCGGGCTTTTCTCCCCATGTATTTAATCGCTAGATAGAGCCAAGCGTCTGATAGTCGCACCCCGGCCGGCGGCCAGCCGTGCACGTTTGGGTCCCAGATGCCCCGGACCAAGGGCCAGTTCGCCCAGTCGGCGGGTGTCGCGATCCTTCCTGACTGCCGGGCGGGTGGTGGCGGAGGGTTTGGGTCTCCCAGGGTCCAGTATGTTGTGGGTTCCTGGTGGTTGACGAGGAGCGCTCTGCAACGAGCCCGCATTCCTTCGAGCTCCTCCCAGTAGTTTCGCGACGGTTCGAAGAACCGGCCTAAGTCTAAGTCGTTTGGCATGGTTTTGCTTTAGGAGTGTCTGTTTAGGGTGGATTTGAGATTGTCGAGTCAGTCGACTAGTGTAGACGGTTTGAATCCAGGAAGTACCCACGTGCAGATGGGACGACTTGGAGAACGATATGGGTGGATCTTTTATGACCAGTTGTTGTCAACAAGGCATCAAAGAAAGTGGACTCGGTCATGGGGATCTTCTGCTGTAGACAAACCTTCAAATGGAAATTATCAGGGCAAGAAAGCCTTTGTTCAACAACTTCAAGTTTTCAGTATCACTAGAGCTTTGCTCCGAAGTAAGCATATGGTCTGAGTCGCTCCACAACGAAGAACATACCGCAGTTTAACTTGATGGCTTCAAAGCCAGTGTATGTTTGTTCGTGCTTTCAGGTATGTTCGATAAGTTCTCTGAAGTCCCTCAGTAATCGGCGGTGGATGGGAACGGTGACACTGAAGGAAGAAGTTTCACAAAGAAAGAAGGGATTTTGAGGAGTAGATAAAGCGTGTGGACTATCGCTTATGGTGATTGGAGAAGCTGGCAGCTTCTGATCACATTCACTGTTAACCACCTGGGGTGAAACATCAAGCTACGGTACTTCAGTAGTAATATATTCACTAAAGCGATCTGTGGAGAACAAGAAAGCAGAGATTAATTCACATCATTGAGATACGTAAACTTTTAGAACAGTAATTAGTAAATAAAGCGGCAGGATCTACCGATCCAGTTATACTTTTAAGTTCACTTGGTCATAGAACCTATCTAAAATCATGCTGTAAGTGCATGCTCTTTAAAGATTTAATTTGATTGATTATACGTATTGGTCCCTCAGCACATAGCACAACTAATATTCATCGGGGGTAATGATAGGACTTGATCTGTAAGGATCCATGCGTGGATCAAAGCTACAGCTGTCACTTCTTAGTTATCTGAGGCAGTATCTTAGTATATTCCACAACGTGTCGCATAGGAAGTAATTCCTTTATATCAGGGAATTTTATACTGCTCCCCGGGCCAACGCAACATCAACGTAGTGTAGTTGCCACAGACCGCATAATCGGATGAATAATCATGCATAAGCATAAGTCTCCACATGGAAAGTCTTCTGTTCGGCTAGACTCTCTTCCTCTTTCTTCCACCGATCGATCTACAGTTCATCCACTCAATAAGCATTGACAAAAGTACTATGTCGGCTCGACTCCATATCTCAAACAATATCAGAGCGTGATGATGAGCTGTGCTACAAGGCACAGCAATATTCCATCCAATTCCAACAACCACCCAGCCATGGAGTTCGACACGTTGCCTCTTCAGCGCAGGAAGAGGCAATCCCAACGATCCACTACCGGGTGTATAATGTGCCGCACCCGCAAGAAGAAATGTGACGAGCTGCATCCGATCTGCACTGGCTGTCAGCGCAACGGGTTAATCTGCGAATGGCCCTCCGCGGAGCGACCGCAACGCAAACCGCGCCGGTCACAGCACCACCAGCTGCCGCAGATGGGCTATGCCCTGCCACCGCATATCGAGGCGATGATCACCGTCTTTGCCGTTCCCAACGCCGACATGGCCAGTCGACTTCTGTCTCATTTCACCGACTACAGCCCTCGATGGCTCTCCACCCGTACAGGACGCCGCCGGTCGGAGTTCCTGAACCACCTGATTCCAGCGGCCATGGATAGTCCACTGATTCTGAAGTGCATTTTGACTGTCTCAGCAGCGGACCTGATCAAGTATGATCCCTCCAATGTGGGACTGAAGGGCGCGGCGGTGGAGTACTATGGCCAAGCACTCGCGAGTCTCCGTGAAGCTATTGCTGATGAAGAGAGATCCGGCAGCATCCCCTCTGGTAGGAGATGCACCCTGTCTTGATAACTCGAGACTAACATGTTGCAGACTACACCCTTTTAGCTGTACTGCTCATCTGTCTCCACGAGGTCAGCATGCCCCCCTCAAACCAAGACCAAAGTCTAATGCACCATAGATCCAAAACTTTACCTCCGTGCACCGCCTCCTCCCCCATCTCAACGCAGCAGCAGCCCTCTTTTCCCACAGACTAGACACCACCACCGCCCCGCCCAACTCCCAGCTCCGCCAACTTCTGTCCGATCTATTTAGCTACTTCTTCGCTCTAACCACCTTCACCCACGGTCCCCATCTCGCCCTCCACCGGGGCTCCTCAATCCTCGAATCCTACCTCACCGCGCCCCATCCCAAAGACACAGGCCCGGGCACAGGGGCAATCCTCGGCACCGCCCAACAGATTTTCCTGATTATCTTCCGCGCCTCCCACCTCATCCAGCTCGCCAAACAAGCCCACACCCCGCTCACCGCCGACATGAAGACGAAACTCACCGCAATGGAGCGCCAGCTCCACGCCTTGCAGAACAAAACCCTACCCCCCTTCAATCAGGGCTACGCCGACGTCGAAGAACAAGGCGACGCCATCATGTCCGAGCTGTACCGACTGGCGTGTATCCTGTATCTGAAACGCACGATCGACCCGGCCCTCGGGATCAAAAGTCACACGATCCAAGCCCTCGTCACAGATTTTATTCGCCTTCTGGAACTGCTGCCGCCCCACCACCCGGTGAACTGTATTCTGTGCTGGCCGCTGGTGGTGGCGGGCCTGTGTACGACGTTGCATGCGCATCGGCGGGTGATCACGACGCGGCTGGGCCAGATCTATGGGGTGTGGACGTCGGATTTGGTGACGATGAGCATGGAGCTTTTGCGGCGGGTGCAGGCGGGTGGGGGTGAGCCGCATTCGAAGATAGAGCCCCGTCTAGGTGGTTATGGGATGCATGATTTGCAGTTTGCGATGGTTTTGTTGTAGCTTTGGCGGTTAAGGGCACTCTTTGGGAGTTTGAATTTCTGGTGGATTGGAATGGTGGTGGGGTTGCTATCGAGGGTGTTGAGACAGTAATTTTTCGGTTGATGTTGTTGTGTCTGGTGGGTCGTTCTGGTCACCAAGAGCTAATGGGCTCGGTTACAGTTATCAAAGCCTGCGCACGGCATATTGATCTAGCTGTATAGCGATATACAAAGACTTAGTATAGTATATTCCTTGCATGTAGCTCACCGTCTGACCTTAGATCTGTCTAGTCAGAGTATACGGCAATATTTGGATGCACCATCAACTAGGTAATGCATTCCACATAGGATGCATCTGTTCCTATTCTAACTTCACTTTACCAATCACCTCTTGTATATACGACACACATAATGAGCAGCTACCGACCCAGTCATGAGGACAAAGAATAAGCCTAACGAAGAAGAGATCCAACTTAACAAACATACACTATAAAGATATAACAGGCACTTTTCTCCACACCCCCTGCAGCAGTCATTATCTATTGCAACTGTTAACAATGTTATAACCGCACAATCCAGAATTATAAATAAAGCCCCTAAGCAAGAACCCCCTCAAAGCTTTTCAGGTAACATGCCACCAAACCCGGACAACACCATATAAAATGGCCCGGTCAACCAAAATACCCAGGCTGCACGTCACCACCCCGCGAACCCCATCCCCGACTCCAGCATCAGAGACCAACCCCTACAGTCTAGCAGCCACCATCCGCAACAAGTTGCGTCTCTCCGACCACACCACTCCGCGCCACTCAGCAAACGCAGCAACCACCTCACCTGAAAACAGCAGCAGCGCAAACAGACGTCCCTCGCAGGATATAACCCAGCTGCGCCGGCCCCTGTCTCCGCTCCTCCCCAGCAGACAATCGTCCCACCCGTCCATCTCTCCGTGCTCAACCTGGACGGACGACTCGATACCTGACCCGAGCCCTAACCACAGCACTACCCCCAACCCAACAACCATGCCGCCCCCGGCACCGGCACCGGCACCGGCACCGGCCCCTGCAGCCTTACCCCTGAACCCCCAACCTGCACCCCCTCCCGCACCCCAACCCGCACCCCTCAATCCCCCTCCC